ACAAACACAAAGGCAGGAGGCTTTGGTCACAGAAGACGTCACTGTCTTCTCTCTGTGTCTCTGTGGATTGCAGCCATGACTGCGATGGAAGGTGTGTGCCTTGAAATGAAAGGCAATCACCTGATAATGCTGTGATTGTTATGCATCTGTGTGGCGCATTAGAGGGAGAGGATAGAACTGGCAAAAAATATTTACATAATGCTCCCACAAATGCATGCAAATGCATATGATTACTCAACATTGGCAGTGTACGGCGAGGCTTTAAGATGAATCTCACTAAATCTGTCAAGAACATGTCCCGTTTATTCTCGTCACAAGTCAGAATTCACCCTAAAAAAAAAAACTTAAATATGAAATTGTAGATTACAGAGAAAATTAGGTAGATATTGTAGACATTGGATATCTATTTATACATTCTCATTTTCCTTTCTATCTATCTATCTATTGTATTTGTTGCTCTGTATTTAATGATATAGTATTTAGATTTAGATTGTTATATTTATATTAATATTACTAATGATAATTAATAGTAATAATTATAATATTTCTTGTAATTATTATCATAGTTATTATTATTATATTACTAATAATAATAATAATTATATGTATTATTATATTTCATTTATTATTTAACTTAATTTTGTATTTTAATAAAAAAAATACTTGCATGTTTTTTTTGTGCATGTGTGTGACATTTACTTGGTACTAATGATTCTTTAGGGCAGAAAGCAAGGAAAGTAATTGGTAAAGTATCATAAAATGCTTCCAGTGAGGTAGGAAGTACCATCAGTATTGTTTTTGTGTCACAATTAATGCATGTCACCGGTGTTGCAACTCTCTGGGTTCTTGTTATTGGATTTCACAGTGTTTTGTGTATACTTGTTTTAAATGATACAAACTTGGATTTACCATTGACTTTAAATGTCAGCTGTACTGTCAGAACTGCAGTGGAAATGGTAGATGAATTGTGAAAGCACCTCTGGCTGAATTTGCCATAGGGACGAACGCTGGCCTCTCTCTGTGCACTATTCAAAATGGCAGCTTGGACAGCAAAGAAAGACAAACACGAACTCAAGCCACCTGGACTACACAGTAAAATCTGGCGCTGACATGAAAGCCAGATGTGTGTGTGCTCGAGTTCTCTCACTTTACGGCCGCGGACAGACACATAAGCGTGTGTGACCGCAGGAGTAGTGTGTGTCCTTGATAATTGGACTGAATCAAGAGCCATTCACAAGGGCCTCCGTTGCCGGTAGCATACGGAGGGAATGGCGCCATTACGAGGGGCTCTTTAAGGGATATTACATTCGCTCGTAAATAGAAATGGCCGTGGCATTGTTTTATGAGACCCCTCTGAGGACTTTGTCTTGAATCTGGTTTTAAACCATCACGTTTTTTAGTGCGTATATCCAATCAGAGGGCCCAGCAAAAAATCAAGATCCCGTGTTCTTTTCCACTCATTTTTGGTGGCGGGATTGTGCGTAATGACACGCTACTCACTTCACAGCGTGCATCACTTGTTGTTTAGCTAATATAGAAGTGTAATTAGCATTCGTTAGCTTTGTGATGCTGATAAATCTTTCTTTGTAGCATTGGGATGTTAGCAGCCCTACTAGCATGCAATCACCTACAATATCTTGAGTCAAAGGTGACTATTAGGGGTTAAGAGAGCGTTGCAGACAAGTTGTAGCAGGATCTTTGAGATCACGCCCGATTGCATGTTATCAGCGGTTTGATCTCTATATTGAGGAACGTTCTCTGGGGCGCTTAATTGGAGTTTTAATTGGATGTTCGCCATGGTTTCTTCCCTCACTCAGACTCGCTGGGGACTCCGATCTGGCTTCCTCCTCTGATTATCCAGCTTTAAAAATCTCTCTCACACACACACTATTGTCCTCCCAGTTGTTATGCAGCTGCATCTATTTCTTTTCTAAGCATCTGCACAGTGGTTTCTTCATCGGCATGCGCTGCTACCAGATTTTTGCATTCTTGCGTCAATCTGTTTGCACACATCGGGACAAACTGCTTCATGTATGCACAAACTCAGTGCTAGCTGTCTTTCTGTTTTCGTTTCTCAGGACTGCGGATTTCATAATCATCTCTCACATTAATGCGAGCGCATTAAATGCAGCATGTGCTTTCCGCAGCTACGGTTTGTACTTGGCCGTTCCAAATGTTTACGACTCTTCTTCGCCGTTCATTTAGAAGAAGTTTGTTATTTTCGTTCACGCACTACAATACAGTTGTGTCTTGCCCCATTTTAACACTCTTATTATTCTTGCAACCGCAGGGCGCATCTTTTCGTGCACCCCAGTTTGAAATGCCAAATCTTTCAATCTTTCACTCTCTTTTCTGTCTGTTGTCGTATCTCTCCGTTTCAGTGCCGAATCCAACATGTTAGCATTAATAATGCATGGAAATGTGCAGGATTAGGAAGCCAGCCAGTCATGAGCGCAGCCCTGATTGCATCTGACTGCTGGTGCTCTCCATTAAAAAGAAAACACACTCTTGTACGGCATATCGCCATTGGCTGGAGGTAGCAAGAAAGATAGGAGATAGAGAGACCTGGAAAGATAAAAGACCTGGGCACGCATAAATGCACGTCTCGAGAGCCGCTCGACTGACTGTCAGTGGTTGCAATGCTGGTATCCGAAGGCATTGCATATCCTTGGCTCATAATGGCTTGTTTAAAAAAGCTGTTTGTATGTACCAAGTGTGGCACAATTTTGCATCAAATGCATGCAACACATTGTTGTGGCATGAATGGCATGCCAAACCATAATGGCATGACGCAAAAGTTGTTGCATAGTGGCTGTGCATGTAGTGTCGCTCCCCAACGAGTTCATAACATTCGCCTCTCCGTCCAGCTCAATTATTCATACACACAGGTCCTTGTGCATATTGCATGACAGTACAGTTGAAATGTGCTTATTTTCCCAGCCTTTGGGGGCTAGCCAAATTGGGGAACATGAATTGAGAGCATTTGATTCGCGAAACATTTATATTCTGACGTCAGTTGGCTTCATTAACTTTTGCACCAACAAATGCGACCGTGTTGCATTCGTGAAATTGAATCGTTTCACCCCAAGCGTGACACAAATTGACTGCCTTTGATGAATGCATTGTTAGTTTGCCTTTCGTTGTATCACACTGTTGCAATGAAACTTCAAACCTTCACCTTCCAGACATGGTGAACGGGAGCTGCATTTGGAATCTGACTTGGACAGCCAGCGTAGGAGAGCGTCGTAAATCAGGGCGGACATATTCCTCCTCTTTGTCTGGGCATTCCGTGCCTGCTTTGGCCCTCTGTTTGTGGCGCTCCAGAGCCGAATCCCTCGACTGACGTTTTCAATTGTTTATGTGAGGCGGAATTTCTAGTGTCGCCATGCAGGTTGACAGGAAACCCCAAGCTGACAAGCCAGCTGTCACTAGGTCCTCACTTGCGCATTATGACTTACAGGCTCTCTGGAAACATAACACGCCACACTAGAGGAGCACAAATAGCAATGCAAACTGACACAGCGTGTGTGTATGTGATGGTTGTGTTATTGTGTTGATCGCAGCAGAAGGACACAATGGACTTATTATGAAAGTTTGAAGTGTTTCACGTGCCCTCCGAGGAAGAGAACAAGAGTGGGCTGTTGCAGTGCATTATGCCGGCACCCACAATCATATAGCTGTCTTGGCTTCTTGGTGACATTTGACTGTTTCGTTTTCAGTGTTGATGACTTCTCTTTATTTTTTGTATAATTTTTATATTAAATACATTTTGGGACAATATTATTGTAATATTTCATACAGTATTATTAATAGTATTTTATATAATATTATAAAAAATATTGTCAATGTTTATTTTTTGGGAATACACTTTGGCGTTTTATTTCTAATTTATTTAGACATTTATCAGTTAATTTTGTGCTTAAATATAATATTTTATCCAAAATAAAAAATATAATTTATTTTTATGACGAAGGCACAGTGTGTCAGTACCATTTATTTTATTTTATTTTATTTGTATTGGCTAATGTTGTATATTTAATTTTACATGCTCATTTCTCTTATTTTTACATTTAAATTATGTTTCCCATCATTTAACACTAAGTTAATCTTTGATCATTTTTTTTTAGAAAATTTAAAATATTTTAAAATATTTGATTAAGCTTCAAGTTAACCTTTTTTTTTCTAGAAAATGAAAAATGTTTTTATTTTCTTTAAAAATGAATTCACTTATAGCATTTAGTGGTTTTATTTCTAATTTATTTAGACAAAATATCATAGACTTTTAATATCAGCCATTTGTCAGTCCATTTAGTAGTTCCTCAGCTTCCACTGTTGGTCCTCTACCAGATCCCCGGGGCACAAGTAAAAAAAAAAGTGCCATCTTGGACTGTGACTTGTTTGAACACCCTTACTGAGTCACACAGGCCTGGAGGTTCATCTACAGATGCCGCAGTCACTCTTTACAGAGTCTCAGCACTTCATGTCAACATCTCTTTCATTCTCGACGTGAGCGAGCGCTTCCGAAAGCAACTACACATGTTCGTGCGTCTCTTGCCATCTTGCCATCTGATGTTCTTGCCATCTTTAATTAAATGGTGTACAAGCACGTTCGCCGGGTTTCCGCCCTGCATGTGTGAGAAACGCAGCAACCCGCGAGTCGACTCCCAAGGCAGAAAGCAGTGACGGGGGGGATTAATCGCAATTTGGCTAAAACAAAGAGACGCGTCTGAAATATTGATGAGTGTCTTGGTAATTACAAGATGGGCGGATAAGTAAATAATGACAAGATCCAGCGATAAAGCCTGACTAATTATGAGTTGTGTGAAACTGTAATTGGGAGTCTGAGGGAAAATGAACAGGCTCAAACTGAACATTCTGGTAAAGAGTGTGAATGTACTTGATGGTTGACTGGTGAAACAATGTTAACATTTTTGTGTTTTTCTTGTCTGTGAGCGAGAGCGTCATTAGTCATCTGCATTCTCCTGTTTTCTCTCCTCCAGAGTGCCACACATCCAGCGTGCCGACCCTTCGTCTCCAGCCTGTGGGGCCACGGCTCTCCAGCCAGGTCAGAGTTCATCTGCGACATGATGCCAGCCAGCCACCTGCCTATCCTGCTCTCCCTGAGTGCCCTGCTGCTGTCTCCGCTGCTCACCGGCTCCTTGGCCTTATGTAAGAGCAAACTAAGATGAAACTTGAGTTTAAGAGTCAAGTTTAAGTCTCAAGTGTGTCAAAACTCTAGAATAGACCGTTTTTTTTCTAGAATTAAGAGTTAGTGCTATGCAAATGTTAAGACTTTTGATCTAATATTGGCTGATTTAGGGTGCCATTTTTGGGTCAACGCAACGTATTATCATTGCCGACCCAATAATGGCCAAATCAGTGGTTGAGGGCTACCGTTTTGGGTCAACTTTAACATATTACCATTGCACGCCCAATATAGGCTGATTCAGTGGTTTAAGAGTCAATATCATTGGCCTGTATACTCGTAACTAATACGTAACTATTAAAATGTTGGACTATTCTCATGAGCAGTTGTGAGAAGTTCTGTCATTTCAGCAGGAGGTTTAATATTTGAAAGAAACCTTTTGGTTGTGACAACTTGAGGTTAAGACTAAATTTAAGCGTTTCTTAGCATTAGCGATGGTCAACTAGTTGATTTTTTTCTAGAATTAAGAGTTAGTGCTATGCAAATGTTAAGACTTTTGATCTAATATTGGCTGATTTAGGGTGGCATTTTTGGGTCAACGCAACGTATTATCATTGCCGACCCAATAATGGCCAAATCAGTGGTTGAGGGCTACCGTTTTGGGTCAACTTTAACATATTACCATTGCACGCCCAATATAGGCTGATTCAATGGTTAAGGGCAGCCATTTTGGAACAACATTGATGCATTACCATTACAGACCCAATATTGGCTGATTCAGTGGTTTAAGAGTCAATATCATTGGCCTGTATACTCGTAACTAATACGTAACTATTAAAATGTAGGACTATTCTCATGAGCAGTTGTGAGAAGTTCTGTCATTTCAGCAGGAGGTTTAATATATGAAAGAAACCTTTTGGTTGTGACAACTTGAGGTTAAGACTAAATTTAAGCGTTTCTTAGCATTAGCGATGGTCAACTAGTTGATTAACCTTCTTTCCACTCGTTTAAAAAAATCTGGATTTTTCTATTCAATTGAAGTTTATTTGTATAGCGCTTTTCACGATACAAATCGTTGTAAAGCAGCTTTACAGAAAACCAAAGTTTGCATTGGTATATTTGTGTAAATTGTTTCAGAACTTTTGTTTGCAACAATTTTTAAAATTAAGACTAAACTTAAGCTTTACTTACCTGCTAGTTAATAAGAAATTCAATGAAATTTTTTTGTTGATATTTTTATCTGTAATTTAATTAGTTTTATCTGTTAGAATGTTTACATGATTAAATCCTCTCAGAAAATTTGTATTTTTTAGGTCAATTGAACCCGAAATTAATCTAATTATACAGGACTTGATTAAACTGATTAATCAGCTAGTCATCCAGGCAAACCACCGACTAGTAGGTTTCATAATCATCAAAAACAAAACTGTGTGGGTTTAAGGATCTCCCCGTACATGTAGAGACGTGAAGCGCGAGATCACTGTTTATCGGATTATTTCGTCTCTCTTTTCCGCGTGTATATCTCTTCATCAGACGGATCGGGGCCTGCGCTGTCTTTTAATTTCCAAAGCTCGAAGTCAGGATTTGTTCTGCACCATTTCTCCCCTAAGATGGGTTTAGAGACCATTAGGGAAACAAAACAAAGAGTCAAGTGAAGTAAAGAGGGGCGAGTGCGAGCGCGGGATGAAAGTGGAGGTAAAGCCTCCCCCTGCTGCTTTCAAGCCTAAAATAGGTGTAATTCAGGCGCTGCCCGAGAGATAACGTGAGAATGGGCCGCTGTCAGATATGCCACGTCTTTGTGTGCCCGACATTGATCTGTTCTGCTGTATGTTGGTTATGTAAGGCGGCCCAGAAGCTAATGTACATCTGACGCAATGAGGGTGAACAAAACTATTACTAGTCGTGCTTGAACGTCTACTATATGACTTACGTTTTATTCAGGTTTACGCTTATAAAGGGGTGTTTACTTCAGATGCATTCAAGAATGTCTAGATGTACTGCAATGGAATGGATTTTCTCCAAAATAAGTTATTCTTTTTGTGACGCAATCTTAAAAAAACTAAGTTTGGAAATGCAAAAATGGCACGAAACTTTGTATTTATGCATTTTAGAACGCAACAAAGCACAATGGAGCTATAAGCGTTGTTTCTCAATTTCTTAAAAAAATTAAAAAAAAAAGGTTTTAGGTATATTTGTGTTTGTGTACATTCTCTTTCTAGCCTTTTGTTTAGAACTAATTTCAAGATTAAGACTAAACAAGCTTTACTTGTTTAACGTTAGTGATAGTTCACGATGGTCGACTAATTCACTTGGCGTCCAATAACCAATTAAGTCGGTGCTAGTCGATTAAGGAATTTTTCCGGGTTTTTATCGTTCATGTACTTGCATCCAAAATTTGACTTTTTTGTGTTCATATACTTGTGTACAATATGTTTCTAGCCTTTTGTTTGGCTAATTTTAAGATTAAGACTAAACATTAACGATGATTCACAATAGTTGACTAATTGACTAGCCTTACAATAACATGCCAGTCGATTAAGAAATTAGCTGATTTTTTGCATTCATATAATTTCGTCCGAAATGTGGCTATTTTTTTGCGTTTGAATACTTCCGTCCAAAAAAAATTTGCTATTTTTTCTGTTCATATACTTTGGTCCATATACTTTGGCAAAATTTGACTATTTGTTGCTTTCGTATGCTCTGTCCAAAAAAATCAGGTTAATTTTTGCATTCACATAATTTCATCCAAAATGTAATTATTTTCGTGTTTGTATACTTCCATTTAAAATTTGGCTCTTTTTTTGCATTCATATATTCAGTCCAAAATTTGGCTATTCTTTGCATTTGTATACTTGCGTTTCTCCTCAAAATCTTTAAAAAGAGACCCAAAATAATCCATAATTGTCATACATTTTTATTTTAATTTTCCCAAAACAGCTATACAATTAAAATGGATCGATTAAGAAATGTTTGAGTTCATATGAGACCTCTGACAAATCTGAGCACGGTTTGAGACATTGTCGAGATCTCTTCAGGAAATGATGAGTAAAGTCTGAACTGGACACTAGCCTCCATTTGTTGTCTGTTTATGCTCAATGTAATCTAGGACAAACAATTGAGACATTAACGAGATCACATTTGTGTTTTCTGTTTTTTTTATGCACCACCTATGACTGTAGGATATATCATTTCTCACTATCAATCCATCTCTGTTTTCATACCGTGACACCCTCAGAATTGCTCTGCGTGTCTGTGTTTTTGTGTCTTCTGTGTGATTCAGATGTTTACTAGGCATTGCACATTGTCCCAGAGCTCTAATCACTTCAAATTTTAGGATAGTACTATAATCGCACTGGCTAGCATGGTCATAATCGCATTTTCATGCTACACTGCTACTAATTGGAAAACGTTGCCTGTTTCTAGTAAAGCAAGTAGCATCGCATAGATAAATCAATTGTCAAATTAGTTTTTCTTTTCTCAGAAATGCATCCAATTGTGGATGTAAATTAGGCTGTGATCTGTTTCATATGGACTTTAAATGGTTTTTGTTCTTACAAACACCTGTTTTAAAGGCACCGTTCAGCCCACACACGCCGCCCAGGTGGATTTGTGGTCGTTGTCTCGTACAGCTGCGCCGCACACGGGCCTTTACTTAGAGATACACACACACACACACACACACAAAGCGAGTGGATGTCACCTCTGCGAGAGGTTGCCAACTGCATGATGTCATCCTCACCGCCTCCCTCCCTCTCGCTCACTCATGCTCTCATAAATCAACATGTGGAGGAGACATTTTTAATCAAAAAGAAAAAAGGGTTGTGAATAAATCTGGCCTATGGTAATAAAGCTTGGGGCTTGTTTGTGTGTGTGTGTGTGTGTGTGTGTGTGTGTGTGTGTATATTTGTTTATATAAATATAAA